GGGAACACATGGCCACCAACTCCTCCTCTCGCTTTTACCGTTTTGATGAGTCTAACACAGGAAGATAACGTTTCTTTCATACGCTGTCAGAATTATTATTTAGTTGTGAAATCCTCTTTGGAGGTTGCATGCTCTACTGCAAGGCAGTGGCAGACTGTTCCCTCACAGCAAGGTTGCGTCCTCCACGGCAGGCTGTTATCCCCATTCATCATACGTGGCAGCATCCTGACCTATTATTTATGAAAATGGAACTGGCTGGCATGATTCGACGTATCCTGTGGAGTTCCTTGGAGCCTGTGGATAATTGCCCTGGCTCCTAGTGGTTCTGCCCTCACACAGTGACACTAGAAACAATGATCAGCCCAGATATTTCTCATGCGTGCTCAACTGTGTGCAGCACAGAAGTTCTGCTGTAAACGTCAGATCAGCCTTCCCCAAGCCCAGTGCTCTTCATTTGTGTTGGGGTAAGTCTTCCACCTATCTCAGCTAATGAAGATGGGCTGGGGATGGTGGGAGTGGTAGTCCAAGACACATAGCAGTTAAACTTGCCCATCTCCCCAGTGCATTTTCTCTGCATCTGCATCTTGTTTCTTGGTGGGTTCAGAGACTACATATTCCATATCACATGTACAGAGCATCAAAAGGGCAGGTGCAGCAAACAAAAGGAATTGGTTTTCTTGAATGGAAAATGAGCTTCACTTCTTTTCTTGGTAATTGCATTTTTATTCCCTTATTGGTTTTCTCACTTCAAGTTCTAATGAATCCATTTTCATGTTTTGGTCACTGTGGATGAGTATGCTGGAAGCAAATTTATGCGGATGGATGAACAATAAAGTGGATCATTCAGTTTTTACACTAACTGGAAGAAATGTACGTAATCTCTACCAACTTGGACCACTTGTGCTTATATATTCATCTCTTCATTTTCTACTTTAGCAGCTTTAAAAAAATGGACAAAGGCTTTTCATCAGCATATTCCTCACAAAATTGTAGCACCATCTGCCTGAGATTGCATTTATCATCATACCAGTTCAATACTCCCCTCAAAGAGATAACCTTTGCATTAAATTCAGTTAAATAGATATTGATTAGATGATATATTCCAAAGCAGATCTCAGTCTATTAAGCTATAGTAATGTATGGCATACAAGAATTTGGCTTCTTATATACAATGTGCAACAATGCAGAATGAGAGATAGACTTTATTGGCATAGACACTGGATGTCTACATTATTCATGAGTATTGATGCCTCCGGATACTCTGAATTAATGCCATTAAAATGGGGGGTGGGGGGGATGAACTTGTCTGAACACAAAGCTGCTCTGACAACCATGCTCAGTCATACCTAGAAAGCTCTCATCTTATTCTGCACGCATATATTCTCCATCGTATTGTGATAAGCAAGGGGATTTGGACTAAATGAACTCTCAATTATCCCATGCTCTAGTCTATTGACTCTGATAGTGTGAAAGACCCAGGATAAGTGCAGCAAGAGCTAGGAACTTGTTGGACAAGTTTAGCCTGGAAGTTCCCATTATTAATGAAATGGTAAGATGACAGCTTTAATGACTGCCCTTATCAATAAACACCAGAGCCAGAAGTTTTGGGGTGTTTATTTCTTCAAATTTCATTCATTGTTAAAAGAAATGTGTGTAAATCTTAGTCTGTTTTAGAGATGGAAGTCTGTGAAAAGTTCCCAGCTCAGCCCATTTCCAATGTCTGGAAAGTCCTTCCAAGTTTAAACAAGTCAGACTTCCCTGTTTTGGTATATTCCTAGCTGTAGTCTGGATAGAAACAATCAGCTTGCAGGTCCGGAGCATGAGGTTGACAGGCTGATGGTCAAAGAGGTAAACTGTAATTTGCAAAGATGTGCAGATGTCTGTTGGGGTTTATAAAGTCAAATGAGTCTTAGGAAGTTGGAGCAACAACAAAGCTAGTGGAGGAGATGGTATTCCAGTTGAGGTATTCAAAATCCTAAAAGACAATGCAGTTAAAGTGCTACAGCAAATCTGGAAAACTCAACAGTGGCCACAGGATTAGAAAAGGTCAGTTTACATTCCAATTCCAAAGAAGGGCAATGCCAAAGAATGTTCAGACTACAGTTCCATTGTGCTCATTTCACATGCTAGCAAAGTTATGCTCAAAATCCTACAAGCTAGGCTCCAGCAGTATGTAGACTGAGAACTACCAGAAGTACAGGCAGGATTTCACAGAGGCAGAGGAACTAGAGATCAAATTGCCAACATACGCTGGATCATGGAGAAAGCTAGGGAGTTCCAGAAAAGCATCTACTTCTGCTTCATTGACTATGCCAAAGCCTTTGTGTGGATCACAACAAATTGTGACAGGTTCTTAAAGAACTGGGAGTACCAGACCATCTTATTTGTCTCTTGAGAAACCTGTATGTGGGTCAAGAAACAACAGTGAGAACTGGACATGGAACTACTGATTGGTTCAAAATTGGGAAAGGCTGGGCTAGATGAATCACCAGTTGGAATTAAGATTGCCGGGAGAAATATCAACAACCTCAGATATGCAGATGATTCCACTCTAATGGCAGAAAGTGAAGAGGAATTAAAGAGCCCCTTGATGCAGGTGAAAGAGGACAGTGCAAAAGTTGGCTTGAAACTCAACTTTAAGAAAACTAAGATCATGGCATCCGGTCCTCTCACTTCCTGGAAAATAGATAGGGGAGAAATGGAGGTAATGACAGATTCTATTTTCCTGGGCTCCAAGATCACCACTTATGGGGACTGCAGCCAAGAAATTAAAAGATGCTTGCTCCTTTGGAGAAAAACTATGGGAAATCTTGACAGCATACTAAAAAGCAAAGACATCACCCTGCCGACGAAAGTTCATATAGTAAAAGCTATGGATTGACAGTTGCAATTTATGACTGTGAAAGTTGTGGGCTTGTGTGGACTCTGAGGGATGATGGACAGGAGAGCCTGGAGGAATGTTGTCCGTGGGGTTGGGCATGACTTTGCAACTAAACAAACAAACAAAAAAGTTGGGGTTCAAAGTTGTGAAACTCCACCCATGCTTAACCCAGAGCAGTGATGACAAACCTTTTAGAGACTGAGTGCCCAAACTGTAACTCAAAAAACCACTTATTTATCACAAAGTGCCAACACAGCAATAAAACCTGAATATTGAGGGTTTAGTTTATAAAAACAACTCACAGACAATCCAAGCAAATATCTATCTATCCATCCATCCATCCATCCATCCTTGGCAGCACACTGACCAGCCATGCAAAAGCTCAGAGGAGTCGTGGCTACTGAGTCGCAGACTGTGACATCATTGCCTGGTGCCACTACTCCTTTCTGAGCATGCGCATTGTCCCTATGTGCACTGTTATCCAATGCTCGGCTGCTGGGGCGATGCTGGGGTGACTTGGCTCGCATGCTGACAGAGAGGGCCCTGCATGCCCTCTGTGGCACGTGTCCCATAGGTTTGACACCACTGACTTAGAGAATTAAGCAATACAATCTTGCATTTTTGTTTTAAACGGGAGGAACAGGAAAAAAGAATCCTGAAGCAAGAACAGTTGTGTTACAGACAGCTTCTTCTTTGCCTTTATATTAAGAACATGAGAAAATTCGTGCTGGATCAGACCAGTGGTCCATCTAATGCAACAATCCATTCACACAGTGGTAAACTAGCTGCTCACAGGATACGTCAAGCAGCATAAGAGAAGAAGAGCTTCCTCCTGCCCAACTTTCCTAGCCACTGTGGTACAAGGTGTTGCATTGAGATCAGAAGTAACACGTAGCCATAAAAATTGATAATCACTGATAGCTTTAACTTCCATGAAGGTGTCCAATCCCCTTTTAAAACCCTCCAGCTGCTTGAATCAGGAAAAAGGATTTCTATCACATTCTGACCAGGTTTACACATCATAGTGTCAATGCCTGAATCTTGTTTTAATTCATTAAGTGGAACACGTTTGTAGTTTCTGTTTCTTATTAACAAGCAATGTGCAAACCTGGAAACAAAAGTTATCCCAATAAAAAACCATGGGCAATTGTTGTGTTGACTCAAGGTTATTTAACACATTCACAATACAGGTTCCAGGCATGCATGTCATGAAATGTCCTAGATCGGTGATAGTGAAACTTTTAGAGGTGGAGTGCCCAAAAAAGGAAAGGTAAAGGTTTCCACTTGACATGAAGTTCAGCCATGCCTGACTCTAGGAGGTGGTGCTCATCTCCGTTTCCTGGCCGAGGGAGCCAGCGTTTGTCCGCAGACAGTCTCCATGGTCATGTGGCCGGCATGACTAAACACCGGAGTGCACAGAATGCTGTTACCTGCCCACCAAAGTGGTACCTTTTTATCTACTTGCAATTGCATGTTTTCGAACTGCAAGGTTGGCAGGAGCTGGGACGGAGCAACGGGAACTCACCCCATTGCGTAGATTCGAAACGGTGACCTTTCGATCAACCCAAAACCCACTTATTAAGCACAAAATGCCAACATTACAAAAAAACCTGAAAACAGAGGCTTCAGTTTATAAAAAACAACACACAGTCAGTCAAACCAAATATCTATCTATCTATCTATCTATCTATCTATCTATCTATCTATCCATCTATCTATCCATGGCAGTGCAAAGATTGGCCATTAGAAAGCTTGAAGGAGTAGCAACTAATAAGGCACGTGACATAATCACCTGGCACCACTACGCCATTCCGAGAATGCACCTCACCACTATGTACACTGTTATCAGATGAATGCCTGCTGGGGCAAAGATGGCGTGACATGGCTCAATGATGAAAGAAAAGGCACTGTGGGCAAGATATGGCAAGAGTGCAATAGATTCACCATCACAGGCCAAACCCTACCCTGGTACACACGCTAACCCTAATAAAGTGGGCGATTTTGAAAAAAGTCTTCCTAGAGTAGATTTTCCTGCACAGCTCATAATCTCAGAATTGGCAATTTTGCCAATTCTGCTCATCATTTCTGCCATTTCTATACACATTCCAACCATTAAAACCTTGCCAGGACACCTCATTTTACTTACCCTAACCCTACCCGGGTGCAACCCCTAACCCTAGTACAGAGCTAAAGATACTTTGAAAATCATGTGATTTATAAAAAGCCTACATTGAATAGCTTTTTCTGCACAGCTCATCATTTCTTCCCATTCTGAACAGATTCCAACCATCAAAATCATGCCAGGACACCTCATTTTTCTACTCCTAACCTACAATGGTTCAACCCCTAAATCCTGTAAATATGTGTACATTTGGCATTTTGATACCTTGTAAATATTGGATGGTGTACTTTTCTATTTTTGTAACGTTGCACTTTTTGTGCCTTTTGTAACTTTTGTAGTATGTTTTTATTTAAATAAAAAATTTCAACCTAAAATAATTTCAACCTAATACAGGGCAAAAGATCCATTGAAAATAAAGCGATTTTTAAAAAGTGCACCTTGAGTAGGTTTTTCTGCATAGCTCTATCATTACTGCCCATTCTGAAAACAATCCAACCATCAAAATCATGCCAGGACACCTTGTTTTCCTAACCCAAACCCTACTCTGGTGCAACTCCTAACCCTATTACAGGGTTGAAGATCCATTGAAAATAATGTGATTTTTAAAATGCCCACACTGAGTAGCTTTTTCTGCAAAGCTCGTAATTTCTGCCCATTCTGAACACATTCCAACCATCAAAATCAAGCCAGGAAACCTCGTTTTCCTAACCCAAACCGAACCCTGTTGAACATCCCTAACTCTAGTAAAGGGCTAAAGACCCATTGAAAATAATGCGATTTCAAAAAAGCCCAAATTAAGTAGATACATCTGAATGCCTCCTCTATTCTGCCCTTTCTAAAAAACATTCCTACCATTAGAATCATGCCAGGACCCCTCTTTTTCTTATCCCAAGCCCTACCCTGGTGTAACCCCAAATCCTAGTAGAGGGCTGAAGATCAATTAAAAAAAATGCCATTTTTAAAATGGCCACATTAAGTAGCAGTTTCTGCACAGCACATACTTTCTGCCCATTTTGAACACATTCCAACCATCAAAATCATGCCAGGACACCTCGTTTTCCGAACCCTAACCCAACACTGGTGCATCCCCTAACCCTAGTAAAAGGCTGAAGATCCATTGAAAATAATGTGAATTTTAAAATGCCCACATTGAGTAGATTTTTCTGCACAGCCATCATTTCTGCCGATTTTGAACAAATTCCAACCATCAGAATCATGCCAGGACAACTCATTTTCCTAACACTAACCCTATTTTGGTGCAGCCCCTAACCCTACTACAGGGCTGAAGATCCATAGAAAAAAATGCGACTTTGAAAAAGACAGCAAGGTGTAAATTTTTCTGGAAAGCTCATCATTTCTACCCATTCTGAACAGATTCCAACCATCAAAATCATGGCAGGAAACCTAATTTTCCTAACCCTAACCCTACTCTGGTGCAACTCCTAACCCTACTACAGGGCTGAAGATACATTGAAAATAATGTGATTTTTAAAATGCCCACATTGAGAAGCTTTTTCTGCAGAGCTGATCATTTCTGCCCATTCTGCACACATTCCAACCATCAGAATCATGAAAGGACACCTCTTTTTCCTAACCCCAACCATAGGCTGGAGCAACCCCTACCCTCCTACTGGGTGAAGATTCATTGAAAATAATGTGATTTTAAAATACCAACATTGAGTAGCTTTTTCTGAACAGCTCATCATTACTGCCCATTCCGAACACATTCCAACCATCAGGATCATGCCGGGACACTTCATTTTTCTAATCCTAATCCTAAACTGGTGCAACTCCTAACCCTAGTACAGGGTTGAGGATCCATTTAAAATAAAGCAATTTTTTAAATGCCCACAATGAGTAGCATTTTCAGCACATCTCATCAGTTCTGCCCTTTTCTGGACAAATTCCAACCATCAGAACCATGCCAGGACACCTTACTTTCCTAACCCTAATGCTACCCTGGTGCATCTCCTATCACTAGTAAATGGCAAAAGATCCGCCAAAAATAATGTAATTTTTTTAAAAAAGATCTTGAGTAGGTTTTTATGCACAGTTCACCATTTCTGTCCAGTCTGAACACATTCCAACTATCAGAATCAGGACAGGACACTTCGTTTTTCTAACCCAAACCCTACTCTGGTGCAACCCCTAGCCTTAGTACAGGGCTGAAGATCCATTGAAAATAATGCGATTACTAAAATGGACACATTGAGTAGATTTTTTGGCACTGATCATCATTTCTGCATATTCTGAACATATTCCAACAATCAAAGTCATGCCAGGACACCTGATTTTCCTAACCCTAACACTACTCTGGAGAAATTGCTAACCCGCATCGATTTACAATCAGGAGTAAGGCAGGGGTGTCCGTTGAGCCCACTCCTCTACGTATTGGCGCTGGACGCTGTCCTGTGCCACGTACAGCTCGAGGAGGGGATAGCGGGGATCTGTTCGGCCCTCCCTACCGGTGCTCCCATACAGATCAAGTTCGTGGC